AGCGTGAGATCCACCGGTGGTGCTTGGGCAGGAGGTGATGCTCATGCATTTGGCTATGGCAGTGGCAATGTAGGCAGCAGCATAAGATCCAGCTGTAGGACTCGACCTGGAGATGTGGATTCGGCCGTGAGGGATTTCAAGGTCTAGGACTAGATCTAGAAGCACAAAGCAATGTTAGAGATAAAGTATTGGTGTTTTTTTGTTCCTCTATTTGCTTGGACCTCGAGTTTGGGTACCTGAGGTGCCATATCTGAGCTGGTCCCTAATTTTGAAATAAACATTCTTCCAAAAGTTAAAAAAACATTTCTGGAACAAAAACTCTAGAAAAAAACATAATTTATTAAAGTTTAGTGAATTTTAATTTGCTCCAATTGAATTTTTTATGGAACTTTTTATATAATTCCCCCTTGCTTTCTATGGTTTTAAGGTGTTTAGTGAATCATAAATAGGTTTTTTTTTCCTAAACAATGCCATCAAGCTAAGAGTGAACTTCAAGGGTGAGCTTAGAATTAGAGAAGTCTGATATGCAAGTTGCACAAGAACAATGGCACTAGAATATGAAGAAAGAGAGTTTGTTTTTCTAGTAATAAGGGATACATAAAAATCGATCAGGAAAACCTTGGAGCTCTCTTGATCCTAGTGATGGTTGAAGATTCAGCTGCTGCAATCCTCATGCTTGGGTGATTGACATATATTTCTTAGAAATAGAAGAAGGTGATATAAGAAGATACACAAGGAAAATTGCTAGGCCCTAGTACAAAGTTGGATTTTGATATACCTAATTTTTTTCTTGTGGGCATGAGAAGATGCTTTGAAATTCAATGACATCCTTGAACATCCTGCTCCCACAACATCGAAAGCACGTTTCACAAAACATTGCAAGCTTACAAACCTTTTCTGTAAATGCATGATTATCATTAGATCAAGATTATCAAAGTTCACTCCAAAGTATAAGTTAATAAAACAATATTCTTAAGAATAGACCATGTAAAAAATCAAACGAACTAACAAGTCCATGTTTAATTATATTTAAAATTATTATAATATTAAGGTAGGTAATATTTAAATAAATAAGAAAAAAATAAATAAAAAAGATTATACTGGCTAGAATTTATCCTTCCTCTAGCGACATAGAATGCTAAGTAATGGAGATTCGGATACTCAACAACACGTCCGGGATGAGGAGAGTTATGGTGTGTTAGGGCATGTTTCTGTATATGTAAGACCAAAATAGTTCTTGATTTGCCATATGATTTGTAGATGTGTAAAAGTGATCCTGATTTCTTTCTCTAAAATAACAGGATCCAAGTATTGTGATGTGGATTTTTTTTCTAAGATAGCATGAGCAAGCCATAAGCATAATTGGCAGTAAAGAATCTAAGAAGAATGATCACTTGTATAAATGCTATTCTTACATCCCAATTCATAATTTGATGCTATTTTATATTTAATAAGTTTTAAGGGGAAAAAACATTTCATTAGGGTTAAAACATAAAAGAAAGAGGAGTTTAATATAAAGAAAAGTAAGGGTCTAGAAACATGCTGGATTTAAAGAGAATGCATAAAATAAGAAATAAAATATAAGAAGGAACAACATAAGACACAATGAGGAATCATCACTAGTATTCTACTTTTAGAAATTGGCTAATATTCCATCCTTAGCATATTCCATCTTAATGAGTATTGACTAAAGTGATATGAGTGGATTAGCGACAAGAAAGAAAATTAACAATTTATTTTTCTCTAACCTGAATTATCCGATTATAATAAATATATGTTTCGTTCTAAGACATTTTAAAAGTTTATATAAGAAAGAAGTGCTAAAATAAAACACACACTATATTACTAATGAGATGGCAAGGCTTAGAGACTATTATATAGGGTTACAAAACTCAAGAAAGGCCTACCTCATAAGTCCTAGATATTGATGTTTATAATAAAATAAGAAAGTAAAAAGATCAATTTATTTTAAAGAATGATCCAAAAAGGACAGAAGTTTCTTTATATCTAAAAAGTTTCACTTTTATTCTGCATAAAGATAATAAATAAAATGTTAAAAGAATATGAGTTTTGATAATTATAGATGCAACATATCTAATTTTAAATATATAATAGGGAATAAAAAAGTTTTATAAATATGTTCATCTACAATTTATGAACTAAAATATAAACTAGTTGCAATTAATTTTGGTAGAGGTTCTGCCCTTTTGTTATTCCTCATATAGGTGGTAGTATGATAATATTTATTTATTTAATACGGTTTATAGTTGATAAGTATCCCTGATTATGTACATAAAATCATATTTCAGTGGAATTATAAAAGGTCCTTTTAACTAAAAATTAAAAAATTGTGACATTTCTTCCTGAACAATAAATATTGGCATTTTAAAGAACAAATTAAACAGTAGTCAATTTTACTTTTATGAAATTGTAAAAAAATAGCTTTTTTACATTCAAAATATATAGTTGCATTTATTCTTGTAAAAATATTATATTTAAATAAAGAAAACAGAATTTATATTTATTCATTTAAACCAATTATTCAAGAGAATGATAGTTTTCTATACTATAGACAAGTATTATAATTAAAACAATTCTGGATAATTCATTTTTATAATAATTCAGAATAATTATAATTTAGTAATATATGAAGCATCTAACACCAAGTAATGTATAGTGGGCAATAAAAACAATTCTTAATTTTATTTAATTTTATTTAATTTTATTTTGATTATTTATTTTCAAATCATAATAAGAAAAATAATTATTTGGGCATCTTATATTAAGGAAATTAAAATTGGTTTTTTAACTAATTGATACCAATACTTAAGTTCCAAAACTTATAATGAATTTATATTTATGGCTTGGTACTTTATGGTCATGATTGATAGTATTGTGTTGTTTTTTGTATTTAACTTAAATTTGCAAATATCATATAAAAATAATTTTAAAGAAAGAAATTTAATTTCTGATCATTTACATTAAGCAATTGGGATGACCTTGAGTATCACTTGCCCACCAAACAGTATTAGGTGATTTTGCTTCATAGATAACTAAGTTACAATCATTTTGAATTGTAATAAAAGTTAGAAATAAACAATTTTCTGAATGACAATGTTTATTTATAGACCATAATGGTTTATTTTTTTCTGTATATAACACAAAATTACCATCTTTTTGAAGAATAAGCTTACAAATGTTGTTATAAATTTCATTATTTGAAGATTTCCATAACATATTCTTACCAGAGTATAATCCAATTATACAATTAGAATGTAGGAAAAGTAAATTCTTCCCATTTGGTGATATTAGAAATTGATCATTATGTAAAACACAATTTTGAAATCCAGCATATAAAGTAGAAATATGAGTATCACAATTATATTTGTTTCGATAAGTAAAATTGATTTTGTACTTATATGTGCTTACAGAACTAGTATTATTCCACCAATAAAATGCATCATAAACAATTTCATATTTCTTTGAAGTTATCTTTACATAATCAGGACAACCATCTTTTATATCATTTGTATAAGCACCAATTAAATCTCTTAAACCAGCTCTTAATGTACCGCCATTAATACTTCTTTTTGATTCTTTACCAGTTGAACACTTTGGAGGGTTACCATCCATATGGCGAACACCTACAAGAGCAGAACCTCTACCAAAATCAATAGCTATTAAATCACCATAATTTATAGAATATAATTTTCTCTTTGTTGTAATTATATTTCTCAAAAGAGTGTTAAAACCATAATTATATTTATTTCATGTTCAGATAATGTATTATTTTCTCCCCATTCTAAATTATCACGTATTGCAACTGTATTGAAAACAAATATAAATAAAATGATGCCTTTTAACATTTAACTTATTCTGAACTATTTAAAGAATAATTTAAATAATATATATAGTAATATAATCTTAACTAATATTAAAATAAAAAGTATGACGCTTCTAGAAAGATAATATACTTTATAATTACCAGCAACCTGGTCGATGCAAGTGAAACGATGCCTTGCTCTGAATGAGACAACGTGTACAGCCATGATTGTGGCATATCGTTTAGCACCTTCGGAGGCTGGGGAGCTCTTCTCGTGTCTTTCAGCCGAGGCCGTGTGCCTCTCACTGCTCAATCTTTGTTAAGTGACTTAGATCGAGCAGCCCATGTTGCAGAGCGTTTGTTCCAGCTCCACGGCCTGGTGGGAAACTCTCAGGCACTGGTGATGCTGTCGAGCATTTCCTCGTCCGCTGGGAGGGACAAACTCGAGGATGGCTTCGTTGGAGACGCTCCCTTCAAGGAGTCGGAGATTTCATCGAGATTGACAAGGTGGTGCATGAATTCAGTGCTGGAGATGGATCGTCTCATTCCAGGGCTGAAGAGGTCCGGCGAGAGCTTGCTAGATGTGAACGTCGTCACCATAGCATTCGGTATCCACCAGGCACGAGTAGTGCTCCACCTTTGGAGTGAAGTTTGTGTAGTCTTCACGGATGCACAAGAGCTGCGAGAAAAGGATGCTCACGAAGCTACTGTCGTTGGAGTGATGCCCAGTGACGCCTTCCAAGTTCATGTAAAGCTCCATGGCCTGTGTGTCGTGGCCACGTTGGGCGTAAGCTGCGATCATCGTGTTCCAGGCTCGTATCCGGCAACGGTGATTCTCTTGTGGCTTGGCCTCCTCCAAACATCCACGGGCATGCTGATGAAGGTGACGGTGATCCGGCCTCACTCCTTCCAGCTCCAAAGATCCGAAACGCGTCTCGCTCTCGACCATTTTGAGCGCAGGCCGCGATAAGAGCACTCCAAGCCACCACTGTTCTCTCCGGCATCCCATCAAACACCTCCTTGGCCTGCTCGAGCATGCATTTCCACTGCCAGGTTCTTGAGGAATCGGAGCTGGGCGGTTCTTCCCACGAATCTCATCGAGTTGCATCCTGACGATGTCGCCCCCAGCTCGCGCAAGCGTAAGTCCATCACCCTAAAATTCAAAATCAAATCAAAATTAATGTTGACCAAATTCAAAATTAACGTTGACCAAAAGTTAACTAACTCGGGTCGTTGACTGATATAGCGATGCAAGCTAAGGAAGTCAAGAAGAAGATCCAGAAAAACACATGAAGAGGATCGATCCATCCTTAATCCTCTTCATGGGCTTTCTGTGCCATCCTCTTCTTTGCTTGCTTAAGTCATGCTCTCCCGGAAGAATGATCCCGAAAACTTTTCACGAAGATCGATCCGCTGCTGCTTGATCTCCTTGCTCGTCGATCGAGACGATCGATTGATTCAGCGACTGATAGCGCAAGAGCTCCCCCGTCAGGAACTCGGGCTCCAAGAACTTCGCAGCAAACGTCCACAGCCGATGGACGTCCTCGAAGTTGGAGACGAGGCCCAGCGTCGCAGTGAGCACTGGAAGATCCGCCAGCTTCTTCATGCTCCCGGAGTGTGCTCCACCGCCTGAGTGATCCGAAAACACGCTCGAGCACTTCTCCGCCAGCAATCTCTTCTTCCTTGGTGCCGCCTTGGCCGACGAAGCTCCGCCATTGTTCTCCTTATCACTCCCACTCGTCACACACACCTCCTCCAGGAAGAGATTCGAGAGCACGCCGCAGCCGAGCGAGATGGAGCTCCGATCCGCCAGCTTTTGGACCAATGTCGGCTGGATCAGCGCACCCTTTTGATCGTAGAGATTGAACGCCACGGCCGGCCCCCGATCGATCTGTGCCTTGGGTCCAAAGATTTGCACCAGCGGTCTCCTCCGCCACCTTTTCGTCGCAGTGGAAGGAGCACTCGAAGAACTAGAGCTCCCGGGAATGTGGTGGAAGAGCGAGCTCATGGAAGCGATGAGCCAGTCCATGAGGCTCTTGATCCGGCAGTTCGTCTTGTTCAATCCCATGGTGTTTGCGTGATCCAATCCCTGGCAAACGATGAGAGGCTCGGGTCGGTGCTGCTGCTGCCGCTCCCTTTGATCGTCGTCAATGTCGTCCTCGTCCCAGGGCTCGTCGCTGCCGAGGTCATCGTCGTAGTAGTCGCCCTCTCCATCCCAAGAGCTGATCGAGTTCTTCCGCCACGATCGTCCGGAAGCGTTGAGGCTCCTGGACGAGGAGTTGTTGTCCATGTTAACGTTGGATGATCTCGCGAGCTGATCTTCCATTCGCGGCACAGGCTGATCCTCGTCTTCTTCTTCCTCGCGGATGGGAAGGAATCTGGGGAACAAGTCGGAGCGCCTGCTGTCGATGAGCCCATCGTCTCTTCCAATCTTCCGAAAGATCGAATCGCTCGAGTCGCCGTTTGGAAGCGCCCGGAGCTCGTCGCCTTGTTCTTGCTGGGAGGTGTAAGAACACGATGGCTCGGAGCTAGCGGAGCTGGAGCGGGCATAGTGATCGTTCGCGACTTCCTGGATCTCGGAAGAACACTGCTAGCAAAACAAAACAAAACAAACAAAAGAATGATCAATCACGCCATGCATGCGAAAATAGTCACGTACCTCTCGTGATGGTCCGAATCCAAATCCATTGTTGCTCTTGCCAAGATCGCTAGAGCCATTGTTCCCGTTGGAACTCTCCTCCTCCAGACGATGATCGCGATGACCACCATCTTTCTCGATCACATCCTCTTCGAGATCCTCCTCGGCCGATCCAAACGGGAATCCCGACGAGGACGCCGCCGAAAAATCCCGATCCAGCACAGGCCCAGAGAACGCGATAAGATCCGGCCTAGCCGCAGCCGCGGAAGAAGAAGGACGACCTCCGAGCACATTCTCATCCAGGTCCTCGGCTAGCTCCTCGTCATCGCCAAGATCCGGCACCACTCTCACCATCCCAATCCCGGGGCTGGAGCTGGACGATCGCAGGCTCGCCATGGACGAGTCCTTGATCAGCAAGCACCCAAACCCGGTGGGATCCGACCCAAAGATCTTGTAAAACGAGCAGATGATGAAATCCGGGCGGAAAAGCGAGAGTCCCAACGATCCCATATCGCGAGGACCCATGGCGGAGACATCGAGCAGCACATCCCAGCGGTGCTTCTCCGCCATAGTCATCCATTGGTACGAGTACTTGGTCCCAGTGATCCGGCTCTGCGTGGGAAAGACAAAGAGCCCCCGCCGCCTACCGCCCGCGGTACCGCCCGCGGTACCGGTCTTCTTCTTGAGCAGCCGACTGCCCTTACCGCGCGTCTTGAGCTCCGCCGCCAGCTGCTCGCCGCACAGCCGCAGCGTCGGCCACCGGAACCGCGCGGCACACGTCCGGCCCCCTGAGCGTACCGCCGCAGTAGTCAACGCCTTGACCGACTCGCTCTCGTGGTCGTAGACCGTGACGAGCTTGGATCTGGCACGGAAGTCGTAGCAATCCGCGACGAGGGCGAATGCCGCGCGCTTGCTGGCGGTGAATACCGCGCTGTACGAGCCGTCACCCACGTTGAGGTAGTCGAGGACCCTGGATCGGAGCTCCGACTGGAGCGTGTTGGGCTCGGTGGTGGCGAAGGCGGCCTGCGCCGCGAGGCTGCCCGAGGAGCCCGCGGAGACGAGCAAGAAGCTGGATCTCTGGCGCCCGGCGGTGAATCGCTGCGTGAAGGAGAAGAGGCCGAAGCCGCAGTAATCGAAGCACGCCCGGT